CAGCAAAGGCTATCAAGATTCTAATGGCTTCCATTCTGGCTATAAAAGCAAAGGTCTCGTCATAGTCAATCCCTTCCTCTTAATTATATCCTTGTACCAAAAGTCTTGACTTATTTTTGGTAATGATCCCATGCTCATCAAGTTTGTTTCTAAAGACCCACCTAGTCCCAATAATGGCTGTGTTGAGTGGTCTGGGGACCAAGTGCCATACTTTGCTTCTCTCAAACTGATGAAGTTCTTCCTGCATTGATGTCACCCAATCTGTATCCTGTAAGGCCTCTTTGATATTCTTAGGCTCAATGGTTGATATGAAAGCTGAATATGCAACTAGATTTCTTGTTTTGGATCTAGTTTGTATTCCGGAGTTAAGTGGAGAGATGAGATTGTCCAGCGGATGTGAAGATTGATGTTTCCATTCGGACTTTCTAGATATCTCTTCTTCAGCATCAACAACGGATTCACCTTCTTCACACTCTAGATTTTGAGATAATACCTCCTGAGCTAAACCAGAGGGACCAGGTTCTTCTGTGAATTCTACACCGTCTTCCCTTGCAACCTATTTGCTTCCATAATTTTGGATTGCCTTGTCCTGTTTTCCCTTAATCAGCTCCTCCAATTCAGTGTCTTCTTTGTGTTCATCATTGCCCTTATCATCAGACTCATCAAATATCACATGCATGCTCTCTTCAACACATAGAGTTCTTTTGTTAAAAGCTTTGTGTGCCTTGCTGGTAGAAGAGTACCCGACAAACACCCATTCATCACTCCTGGCATCAAACTTGCCAAGGTCATCCTTTCCAATATTCAATACAAAACATTTGCAACCAAATGGCTTCAGATGAGCAATTGAAGGTTTTCTGTCATTCAGCAACTCATAAGGTGTTTTCTTGATCATGGTCTTGATAAGACACCTATTTGTAACATAGCAGGCTTTGTTGACTGCTTCTACCCAAAAATTCATTGCCAGCCCTGAGTCAATCAACATGGTTTTAGCAATATCCACCAATGTTTTGTTCTTCCTTTCAACAACTCCATTTTGCTGGGGAGTTCTTGGCGCAAAGAAGTTGTGATGGATTCTATATTCAGCACAAAAGCCTTCAATTTGAGAGTTTTCAAACTCTGTGCCATGGTCAGATCTGATGCTAGCTATCTTGCAGTTTACCTTTAGTTGAATTACTTTGGCAAATGTGATCAGAAGTCTGGTTGTCTCGTCCTTAGTCCACAGAAACATGTTCCAGGTAAACCTAGAGAAATCATCAACAACTACCAGAATATACTTCTTACCTTCTCTGCTTTGAACTCTAATAGGTCCACATAGATCCATGTGGAGAAGTTCTAATGGTCTGGTTGTGCTCACACCTTTCTTAGTTTTAAAAGATGATCTTGTCTGTTTCCCTTTTACACAGGCATCACAGACTTTATCATCAGAAAACTTCAGCTTTGGCAATCCATGGACCAGGTCCCCTGCAGCAAGCTTGTTCAGCAAGGATGTACTCACATAACCTATTCGCCTATGCCATAGATTTGCATTGTCAGTTTGAGCACTTAGGCATGAAAGATTGTCCCCTTCTACCGAGTCAAGATCTGCAACATACATATTTTTTACTCTTTTGGCAGACATAAAAACCTTGGTAGTTACACAGTTTGTAACCAAACACCTATCATATATGAACTTAACTTCATTTCCCTTGTCGAAAATTTGGGATACACTCAAAAGATTGTATTTCAAACCATTCACATAATGTACATTGTCTATGAAATGATCAGTTATTCTTCCTATCTTGCCAATTCCGAGAATGAAACCCTTCTTTCCACCACCAAATGACACACCACCGCCCTAGTGTGCTTCCAAAGAGAGGAAGTTTAGAGTGTCTCCGGTCATCTGCCTTGAGCATCCACTATCCATGTACCAGCACTGACTGTTTCCTCTCTTCTGCATAAGAATCACTTATTAGACTTAGGAACCCACTTCAGATGGAGTTCCCAAAAACTGTCAAAAGGCTTAATGAGAAACCTTCTTGTCCATGGGGGGTAAAGTGTTCTTGCTAAAATGGTAACTGGGACCAGGTACCCTTTTCATTTTTACAAAAACTTTTCTCGATTTAAGAAACTTCTCATGCCTTTCTTTTACTCCTCTCAGAATCTCACATTTTTCTTTCAGATGATCATTTTTTCCACAATGGGTACACAAAAGATTATCAGAGACAGACACATATTTACTGTGGGGATTGTAGGGAGGCTCTATATGTCTACAACCTAACCCCTTTTTGTTGTTGAACTTCTGATTTGCTAAGTTGGATAGTATCTTAAACGAATCAGTCCATTTGAGGGAGTGGTTTAACTCTTCTTTGATCATACATATATCCTTCACTAGTTAAGAGTTCCTTTCAAGAGAGGCAACTAACTTAGACTCAGAGGTCTTCAGTTTCTCTTCTAGCTCAAACTCAAAGTTACTGAGTTTTCGCTTCCCACCCTCAGAGGTACCAGGTTCCTCGTTGGGTTGCAAACTACTAGTCTCTAGGATACCTATCCTAACACTCATTTCAGACATTTGAGAGTTAAGAGCTGAGTTTTCATCCTCGCACAAACTCAGTTTTTCACTTATCATCAAATTTTCAGAAGTTAATTCATCAACTGAATCAATTAATACAACATCAAGTTTTCTCAATCTTTTAATGGAAAGAGTGTCTAGGTCATTTTTGAGTTCAAAAAGGGTTACCTCATCCAGATCCTCTTCATCGTCAGATTTTTCCATGAGTGAGAAAATGGAATTGAACATAGTTTCATCATTTTTGATAGCCATCATCGAAACATCTTCATGGTTGTCTGCCTCTTTCTCAGATTCGCTGGTTGTATTTCCCCATATAGTCAAGGCTTTCTTCACTAGTTTATCAACATGAGCCTTTATCTTGGCATGGTCTAGGACCTGGTCCCTTCTTCGAGGTCTGAAGTCTTGAGTTTCCTGCTTCTGACTTAGACAGTCCCTCATAAAATAACCAGGTTTGCCACATTTATGACAAAGATCATTTGCATTTGGTGCTCTGCTGTTCGAGCCCTTCTTTTGAAAGACTCCGTGCTTCTTGATAATCTTCTGGAACTTTCTAGTGACGTATGCCATTTCATCATCCTCCTCAGTCCCATCGTTTGAAGATGTTTTCAAGGCCACTGATTTCTCCTTCTTTCCCTCATTTATGGTTGACCCATGCTATTTGTTCAGCTCGTAGGTTTGGAGATTTCCAATCAGTTCATCCATGGTGAGCACCTTCAGATATTTTGCTTCAGTTATGCCATTCACTTTATTCTCCCATGACTTGGGAAGTACTTTAAGAATCTTTCGAACTTGTTTGCTTAGTGGAATAGGCTCACCATGACATCTCAATTTGTTGGTTATGGAAGTGAATCTTGAATTCATCTCGTGAATGGTTTCACCTTCCTTTATACAGAAGTTCTCATATTGAGTCGTAAGCATATCGACCTTAGACTCCTTCACTTGTGTCGTTCCCTCATGGGCTATTTTGAGACAGTCCCATATCTCTTTGGCTGTCTCGAAAGTAGAAATTTTGTTGTACTCGTCTGAGCCGATTCCATATACTAGAATCTTCTTCGCTTTATAGTTTTTCTCTGTCTTCTTCCTGTCCGTTTCATTGTATTCCTTTCTAGTTTTTGGAACCATCTTAGTAAGCTCACCATTTGTTGCCTTTCTTGTGGGAATGTACGGTCCATCAAGAATCACATCCCACAGCTCAGTGTCTTCAACATTGATGTAGTCATGCATTCGATTCTTCCACCAACCATAAAACTGTCCGTTGAAACGAGGTGGTTTGGTGGTTGACTAACCTTCTCCCATGTTGGGTGGAGCACCCATTCCTTCAGGATCTTTTCTTTTCTTGGTGTTACCCAATTAGAAAAGTCAAGCTCTGATACCACTTGTTGGAATATATGCGTCCACGAGTTACGATAGGACCAGGTCCTTAGCACGATTACTATAATGAAAAGTAAATAAGTACTGAAAGTAAAGATGGCACACACAACTTTACGTGGAAACCTCCTTGCTCAAGGGAGTACAACCAAGACCTGTCTCATAGGATTTTTCAAACTGCTACTAAACTTCACAAGCCAAAGTAAAACCCAGTTTACAACACACACGAGATTAACCTACTAATCTCTATTCTGAGTAATAAACTATCACTCAATGAGACAAAGCAATGTCTGCATTGCCCACTATACTAACCCAACTGATTAATATAGATTTTGACGTAAGACACTAAGTTGTCCTCAACTAAGTTCTTACAATGATTCACCCAAGGTTGAAACGTTTCTATCACAAGCAAAACGATTCTTACAATATAAGCACAAATACAATCAATCAAAGTAACATCTAGTTCAGGAAGCAATAAAGCAATCTATTAGGTCCATTACTGTTTTGAAGCTTGAATCTCTCTCTTTGCATGAATAAATGATTTGTTGTTTGTAATGTTGAATTTATCAACCATTAAGAGTTATTGACCGATGTACAAACAACCTCATCCTTTCTGATTGGTGTGGTACACTGACAACCTCACCAAACTCTGACGCGACAGCTTGCCAGCTGTATAGCATAAGGTCCTGGACGAGCATACTCTGCAGAGGACCGGGTCCCTGCACTTGTGAGGAGATCATAAAAACATCTGGGAGCATTAAGACTTATCATTGACATATTTTAACAGCTATGCATCCTATGTTGGATACACTATCCAATGTTGGCGTATCTTGCCATTGCAGAAAATGAATCAATTGGAAGAGAATGTTATAATTTTATGCAAGTTTTTGTGCTTTGTTGAAAATATTGCTTATTGTTTGGGGATTACTTTGTTTACTTAGATATTAATGTGTTGGCTTGCCTAATGGATAGAATTATCTAATACATGTTGTTGATGAAATGTGACATATATAGATGCTTGAAATAACCTAATTATCATTCAACTGTAAAACCAAATACAAAAGAGGGAGATAAAATTTAATAAAAAAAACTCATAAGCAAATTACATGCATGGAGTTGTAAGTAAACACACTACTTATGTAATGATCCTGTGACAGCTAGAATAGTCTGTAAAGTTGTGAGTAAGAGGAGTATGATGGCTGCCACAGTTGAAGCTCCTGCCCAAGGACTACTAAAATAATTGCGCATCAAATTTGTCTTCATTTTATTCCATGTTTTATCACAATGTTCAACTGCTTTTTTGAATTCTTCTCCGTAATAAAAGTCGGAATAAACGGTGACCCCATTTCCGATTTTGTTGAAGAGGCTAGCCACTTCTTTGTCCTCTCCTATCCAATTCTTTATGATTTCTTTCTGGCGAAGCAAATTCACATCTTTTTCTGAGTCGATAAGATGATCCATGAAAAATGCAAAATCACTAAAATATTTAGGTTTTACATCAGATGATTGTTGCTCGTAAGCAATGAGATTTCGTAGGAGGATTTCCGTACCATCTCCGACTCCAAAACAAGGGATTTTCATCACTCCCTTCTCGAACTTTATATCAAATAAACTTATGTCATCCTCAAGGTCTCCTCCACCCAACAATCTATCAAAATGTCCAACTTTAATAAAGCTTATTCCAGCTTCGGAAAGCTCTGTTGCATTTGGCATGACCTTAGTTTCCATTCCGCCATGTTTTGAGTCTTTTATAGGATTCCCATGACATGAATGTATGTGTACTGCTTGAAGTATATGTTTGATATTTTCTTCATTACATATTGTCTCTATAATGAATATAGGGGTAAATTCACATCCCAAACCAAGAAAATGGGTAAACGAAATCATCACCAGTATTACTAGTGGTAATTCATCATCTTGCTTTGTCATGTAATGAAGCTTGTTGAGGACAAAGAAAGGAAGTTGATTTTCTAGTAACAACAAGTCTCGGACTATTTGATTATATTTGGAACCAACAAAATTGATAATTTTGTCTTCTCCTTCTCCTTCTCTTTTTCCTTGTGGATATATTTGACAACGCTCTCGAATAAACTCAACCACAAAACAACCATCAAGCAACAACATTTGGCAAAATTCATGACTATCATTATCAGTATCAAAGCCTTCTATATCGCCGTAACAGTTTAGTGCTTTCTCCATCCATTTATCCAATTCACTGATGCAACTTTTCACATCAAGCTGGTTATTCCGTTCAAGAAACCGTCGTAGATACAATAGTTTGTACTTTTCCATTGAAGACAGTTGAGAATTTCCCTTATGATAAGGACCAATAGAGACCATCTTTGGTACATAAGCAGCTGGATTTGATTCACGTAGCCCCACATTTACTTTGAATATGGTAGACGATTTAATAGACAACTTGTCCAAATCTTCAAACTTTTTATGAAAGATTTGATTTACACATTCCGTTGTTTGCGACCCCGATGGTGGATCTTCATCATTTGATTCCGTTGTTTGACTCTGTTGCATTTGGCATGAGCTTAGTTTGCCTTCTTCCTTCCGTAACTAAAAAGAGTAACAAATTTTAGAATGTTTATTACAAGTAGTACTACTTAATAAGCAAGCAATTACATATTTTTATATACAATCAAGTTTATCTATGTCGTTAAATATAGTGCTGTATATATACCTTCTTTCTTTCTTTCTTTCTTTCTTTAGGAGGGTGTCAAATGGGCGGCTGAAATTATAAATATTAAAATGGGTTGAAATAGAAATCGGGTACTCAAATTTAATTTGGGTTACAAATGGGCTAAAAATAGGGTTTGATCATCAGCCGCTTAATCTTAATATATTGTAATTTTACCTTTTATAACCATAATTTGAATTTCAACTCAAGAAAATAATTTTTTTTTAAAAAGTTATAAATGGATAGATAAATCCTAGAAGATATAAAATAGATAGTAATGCATACACTTAATATGAGAACATACATTACACTAATGCAAATAAAGAGTATTAAAATGGGTTGAAATTGAGGATTAAATTGGACTCAATTGAAAATTCTTTTTAAATGAGTTAAGGCTTGAATGAATTGAGATTGACCAATTCAAATTATATTGAGCTCAACCCATAAAATTCTGAACAGGTTAGGCGGATTACCTATATCTAGGTTCATCTTGACACCCCTAGTTGTTTAACAAACTATGTATATTTACCATTTCTTTTAACAAGATTAATTTAAAAAAAACACTTCAATCTGGTTTTTTAATTTTAGAAATGTCACATGACTTTAAATATTTATCTCACCTGGCCCACTTTTTCTACCTCACCAAACCCGACTAAAAAATGTGTAACCATAGTTAGTGAATAAGTTAGGACCATGCATGAGGTAGGCCTAAAATTATATGAAAGGAAATAGTCTAAAAAATTCTATATATAATTTCCAAAAGAAAAGTGGGCTAATGTAATGAAAAACAAATTTATGAGAGAAACCTCATCTTTTGCAGTTTTAAGAAGCAGTGGAATTTGATCGTCTATCACGGTTATCTCAATAGAGTGTGCCATTCCTTTTTTCTTCAACTGTAATTCCTACAAAAGACATATTCTTTTTAATTTTAATTCATAAATATCATGACTATTATTATTAATCCAAAGCAATATATTCATTGGAATTTGATTTCAAAAGAAAAAATAAAGTAATAAAATATCACAAAATAATGAAATCGAACTTTAAAATAAAAAGATTGTCAAAAACATGTTTAAAAGGAATATTTAGACACAATTCAAATATTCAATAGGTATAATCATTAGTATAAGTATTTAAATGAAACAAACTGACAAATTTAAAGGGTTTGCGTATGTATTCTGCCTTTTTTTTAATAGTCACAATACATAAATGTCATTTAACTTAGTCATTTATTTCACATTTATGTTCTTCAATTTTGGGTGTACACAAATAGATACTTAAACTTATATAAAGTTGAACAAGTAGACACATAAGTCCTATGTGACATAATACACGTAGAACACCACGTAGGACACAAATTCTCATAAATGTAGCATGTTACGTAGGACGTGTGTGTATTTATTTCATTTTGTACAAGTTTAAGTGTCTACTTGTGCACACCAAAAATTGGAGGACATATATGTGAAATTAAACCAAGTTAAAAAGTATATTTATGTATTATGAGCTTTTTATATCATACCAAATTAATGGCAATTTGAGGGAGCATTGTACACTTCTTTGCCAGTTTTATTTTATTTATTTTTTATAAAAAAAACAAGAAGAAAAGAGACGCTCTTTAAGAAAATGGATATTGTATACCCTAATATTTCACATCCTTATAAGTTTTATATTTTCCTTAAAATTACTAGAGAAATTACAACAGAAATCATTTCTACAAAGTGGCTATAGTTATTGCGTAAAAATATTTAAAAATTGTAGTGGTACACCATTTCAAAAAGAACACACAACTAATTAACCATAAGCAACCGGCAAAAGTTGTAGTTAATTAAGTGGTAATTACTACTTCCTAGTTGATTAAAGGCTTCAAATTTAAGTCCTAAAACAGACTCACCTTCCAAAATGAGATTTTTATATCACGAATTTAAATTAATTTAATCTTAGAATAATTATCAAATTAAACACTGATGACAGTAAAAAAAAAAAAAGTAAGAAGAATCTTTTAGCTAAAGTATTAGCCATTTGAGTCATGTCTTTCTACTTGAGGCGTAAAATAATATAATTAATTGATACTCCATCACTTCAAATTTACTTATTAAATTTTGACTTAACACACTAATTAAGAATATAATGATTAGTACAGTGAGTTTATCATTTTATTTTTATTATTTGATAGGGTTCCAAACATATTTACTTACTATATTATTTAAAGATATTAACTCAATATTAATAAATTGAGAATATAATAGAAAAAAATAAAAATGTCCTCCTTTGATTTGTGAAAAATAACCAGTAAAGATAAAAATCAAATTAGGAAATATTTCCTCTGTTCCTATTTACATGTCGTCCTTATTAAAAATAGATATTCCTTAATACTTGTTATTTCACAAAATCAATGCATAAATACATTATTCTTCCTATTTTATCTTTGAGAGTTATTAGTCTTGAAAGTATGTATTTGACCAACATATAAAAATTAAGTTATTAATTCATGTTCATTATATTGGTAAAATTAATTAATCAAAATAAATTAATTCATGTTTATTGATTGAAAACTTGATTTTAAGAGCACTAAATAAAGATAAATATTAAACTTACATAGTTTTTAAGGGATATAAAATCTAAAATGGTGACAACTAAATAGAAACAGAATTAAGAAGTATTTGACAAGTAAATTTAAATGGAAGTAGTGTTACTTTGTGTCTTTGGTTTGGCTGTTTCTTTTCATTGTGCTGTTAGTTTCTCAAGTGACTTTAAGGAAAAATAATATAATAAATTGATATTATAGAACGAGAAATGCAGAAAATTACCTATTTGGTTTGACTGTTTCTTCTTCTTTTGTGTCTATTGCAACTCTTGCTTTTGCATTTGTCATTGCTACGAAGTATCTATTATATAGAAGAAGAAAAAAAAAAGAGAATAAATATAGATAATTGAAAATAGTATGTGGGGTCAGAGTAGTAAGAAAAGTAATTAATTTTGAGGCATTTGGGGTTAGGGGTTTGTGGGTGGGGTGGGCAGGTCAAATTTTAAAAATATTATACCTTTGTGGTGGTGGGAATGGGAGGGGGGTAAGAGTAGGGTAAGGAATTTTGGTTTTGAAGCTTTTATCATGATCCCAATAATAATATGGATATATTTGCTCATATTATTCATGGGGTAACTTGTTTTTATCCATTTAAAATATGAATCGGTCGAATATTTTATCCATTTCTATTGAACTTATTTTCGATTGACTCATATTTGATTCGATTCGCTCGTTTGTCACTCTTACGTGTAGGGTATTGGGTGTTCATGTTACGATTTAATTGATTATTTTATAAAATTTCTATCATATTAATTTTTGATTATTTTATTTATATAATCAAATTAATTAATATTTTGAAATCGTTCTAGCATCTCAATTTTTTTTATATTGATATGATTTAGTTAACTTTTAATATTTTTTGTCAAAACATTATGTAAGAGTCGGAAGTATAAGTTAGAACATGATACTAAACATGCTTTCATACGATTTGGATAAAAACTCTCCAGATGCTTTACTGTTTAAAAAGTGATGAATAAAAAGAATAGAAAAGACAACAAGAATAAAGATTCATTCCACTATTTTATAGTAATGTAAAATGAAGTTAAACAAAGACAAAAATAAATCTATATTAAACACGAGCGAAAATATATTAATCAAGATGGAGCTCAAAAATCAATATCATATTCGACCAAACTTCTAAAATTAATTTATTTCGAAAAGTGTTTTTCCTAGAAATGTTTTTCTAAAAGTATTTTTGATAAGAAAATATTTGTTTTCAATCAATAAATATAAAACACACTTTTAACTAATAATTAGTATTTTGACTGAACTTTTGAAAAAGTGTTTTTTAAGCGTCACTTTCAATAGAAATATATTTGTTTAGCTTCTGTAAATAAACTCTTGATACTCCCCCCATAACATTTATTTTCTCTAAAATAATTGAGAAAACGCCTCATTTAAAAATTATTAGCACTTTTTAAAAATAAAATAATAAGCACTTTTGAGATAAAATTAATAAAAAAATTAATCATGCAAAAAAAAAAAAAGACATTTAATATCTTGTACTCTCTGTCCAACAATACTATATCACCCATTATATATATTAAATATAACTCTTGAAAAATAAAATAGGAAAATGATTGAAATTAATGATAAAAGTTATTTAGAAACTAAATGTAAAATTATTCATTGATTTTATAAAGTAGATTGTTGGACAACCTTAAATAATACTCCATTTGTCCCTAATTACTTGTCCACTTTTGAATTGACACACTTATTAAAGAAAACAATTATTGACATAGTCAGTTTACCATCTTACCCCTATTAATTATGAAGTGGATGAATTAAAAATTTAAGATTTTCAAAAAGTTCTTCTTTTTTCAAAGTAATTAATTGAGGGTATAATAAGTAATTTTTTTTTTGTCTTTTCTTGATTTGTCAAAATGGACAAGTAATTAGGGACAACTATAAATGGAAAAATGGACAAGTAATTAAGGACAACTATAAAAGGAAAAATGGACAAGTAATTAGGAACAGATGAAATATAGTTGACAACTATTATTAGACGGAAGGAGTAGCTTACTACTCAAATCGATGGAATACCTTGCAACTCAAGATATTAGAATTCATTTCGTTTTAATAAAAGTAGCATAATTTTTTTTTTGAAATTGAACTTTAGGTATAAATTAATTACCAATCGATTTGTAGTCATTTTTATCACCTCAGATCAACGCAAAATAAATAATATTTTATTATTTTAAAATTTAATATATAAAACATATTTTACACAAACTTATTGAATACAATTCGCTTTACTTTTGTGTCCTTTTTGTGTCGTTTCAACAAAAAAATGTTATTGGCCGACCAGAGCACTTCTTTTAGAAATCCCGTTGGGTCAAGTCAATGACTATTTTACTTTGAGTACCAATAGAAAGTTAGGCGCAAATTTAATATCACAAAAATCACAAAAATAGGCACTCTTTGTCTCTAATTACTTGTCCACTTTTAAATTAACACACATATTAAGAAAATAATAATTGACTTAGTAAGTTTATCATTTTACCTCTATTAAATATAAAGTGAATGAATTAAAAACTTACGATTATCAAGAAGTTATACATTTTTCAAAGTAATTAATTGAGGATATAACAGGTAATTTTTTTTGTCATTTCTTGATATGTTAAAATGGACAAGTAATTAGCAACAACTAAAAAAGGAAAAGTGGACAAGTAATTAGGGACAACGGGAGTAGTTTAGTAAGTTCTTTAATATCACAACAGAGTACAAATATACTCCATCTGTCCAATAATAGTTATCCAATATTGACTTTTTACCCCATTTAAGAAACTATAAATAGAAGGATAATTTTACTATATCGTCATTTGAATATAATAAATACAATGTCTTGTAAAATGTAATAAGAAAGTGACTGTAATTAATGATAACGGTAAATTAGGAACTAAGTGCAAAATTATCTATTGATTTTATAAAGTGGACAATTATTGTTGGACATTCCAAAATAGTATAGTGAACAACGTTGGACGGAGGAAGTATTATTTAATATTTTTATGTCTTCTCTTGGGTAAATCAATGCACTACTTGGTCACACACAATTACCAAAGGAACTTAGGGTGTGTTTGGTATGGAGGAAATCATTTTCTTGAAAATGTTTTCCAATTTTTCCATGTTTGGTTGACTTAAATGTTTGGAAAATGTTTTCCAAATCAACACATTTTCCTCAAATCTAAGAAAAATGACTTCCCTTCCAAAATTAAAGAAAACATTTTCCAAACTCTAATTCATCCATTAATCTTTTTTCTTACCCTATCCATATCCCGTACCTGACCCTCCTCATTCTATTTTTTTTAATCTTCTTATTTTTTTTTAATTTCAAATATATTTTATCCCTACCTCGAAACCACCACCCCCTCAAACAAAATTTAAAAATTATTTTTGAAAATGTTTCAAATTTTAAGATTTTCTTACCTCATCCAACCCATACTGTAACACCTCGGTCTTAGAAAGAACTAATTTTAGCAAGAACGAAATCGGTAAGAGCCAAATTGAGAATTGTGCAAGTTAGCTTTAAATTGTGAGTTTTGGGCCAACTTCAAACGATCATAACTTTCAGTACAGGATGATTTGGGTGGCCCATAAGGTATCAAATGAAAGATCGTTGATTCCTCTTTCCAACACCATTGAATTTGCTAAATTTCGAGTTCAGATGAGGAAGATATGCCCATTTGAGTTCAACCTGTCTGATTAAGAAATTTCATTAGAATTGAGGAGGGGTATTTTGGTATTTTCCTTACCCCACTAGCCTAATTCATGTTTAGTAATATTTTAGGGGTCTAAACTGACATAGATCAGTTTTCACAATTCTAAAACACACTTAGGGTTTTAGAGAGAAGTTCAAGGAGAGAAAAAAGGAGAAAATATTCAAGCATTCAAGATTTTCTTGCAATCGTCGAGGGATTTCGCCAAGGATTTGATCCTTACGAGGTATGTAAGCTTTCAAGTGATGAGTTCGTTCAGCTTCACTCCAATCATGAGTTTCTTGAGTTAATTTCGTCCATGACAATCCATGTATTGAAGTTCTTGATGAGTTTCTTGAAGTTTCGTTCTTAAATCTTTAATAATGGGTTTTGATGAGTTCTTGAGATGAATGTTATGAGTTTAAGGGTTGGTTTTAGTAGATTTTGTGTACTTATGTGGGGTATTCTAATCTAAGAGAGTTTGGAAGAAACCATTCGATTCTAAGTGAATTAGGGCCAAAAATTGAAGAGGAAAATTCTTCGGGTTTTCTGAGTGGGGCCTGGGGCGACACTTCATCGATGCGCCAGGGGGTTGGCGCACCGTGCCAACAGTACACCAGAAATGGTTCTCTGTAGTTTAGGGGTTGGCACCCCACGCCACTCAATGCGCTAGGGTTGCCTGCCCCCATCCTTTTCCGTTGTTCGTCCCGCTTGAGTTCTTTTAAAAAATGTCTTCACTCTCTTCCTGATTATAACTATTCTAAACATATCTAATCATCAAGAGATCCTTTATATCATGAATCATAACTCTTGAATTGACATTTCAATTTCAAGAAAACATTAAGAGTCAAGTTTGAGAGAGCCTTTCGAGTCTTTCTGAGAAGTCTTTTACAAACTTTTAAAACTTGTTTTAAGACTTGAGTACTTGAGTATGAGAATGGGGAGAGTTGAGTTTTTTTCTTTTCAAAATGAATATATGAGAACTAAGTTATCTCAAGGGTAAATGTTTTTACATTTAAAATGAGAGGAAGCTTCGATTTCCAAATGAGTTTATGAGGAATTTGGAGCACTATCTCTTTTAAGAGGACCTTTTGAGTAATAATCTAAAAGTTTGAGGATGAGGTAATGTTTTTAAGCATATATGAGCATGAGTTATACTATTGGGAGTAGTATTGAGCACCGATATGGGGACGAGTTGAGACAACTCAAAGTCCTCATAAACCATGTATGCCAACGTGGGTAAAATGTCATATTTTTTTAGATGATTCCTTATTGATTTTTAGCATAGCTTAGTGGATCCACTTAGTTGAGGATGTCCTATACTCCGGCAAGGTATATGACAGTTCTGGTAGCGTGGGCGAGACACTGTATCAAAACATAGCTCATAGTGATGGTTGTCGGTTAGAGAATCTCTCAAATAAGAGTAAAAGAGTTATTATTATATTTTTAAATACATTGAGTTATTATCTGTTGTTTTAAAAGCTTTCTTTATAATGTATCTTTATTGTTTCTTTTATATTGAACCGAGTTGAGTATTTCTGAGTTGAGTATTTTGAGTATCTTTGAGTATCATTGAGTATCCTTGAGTTGAGTTGATTT